AATCAAGATTACAGTTTCTTTGACAAAGATGCAGTTTTTTTTTCAATTGAAATGAATTCCTAAAGTCCTACTTTTTTTTGAAAAATGCATTCAAACTTCACTTGGTTTGAAAATTGTATTCTAATTAAAGTTTTAATTAAATCAATCAATCAGAGCAAACATCATCTAAGCCATAGCTTGGTTCTTAAGACCAACAGTAGAAGCAGTAGCACAATAGCAAAGGCAGAAACAACAAAAAAGGCAGAAACCATCATTTTACTGAAGATCACTTGACCTCTTGAACAATGAATTGTACAACAAAGAAGAAAGAAACAGTAAACCACAGAGAAAGCCATACCACAGAATGTCCTTTAGTAATCTCATGTGCAAAGAAAAGTCTATTGCGATTTTTGTATTTGGTTGATATTATTTTAGTTTATAAGAATTGTTAAACAGAAAGAGGAAATTACAAAAAAAAACATCCATGGAACGAAAGTAAAAAAAATTAAATAAATAAAAAAATAAGTAGTAGAGCATTTTTCCCTCTATTTCCTAGAAAACAGTCTAGGTAGTGCAGGAGTACTGAAATTATTTGCTTTTAGTTAAAGATTCCAAAAGATTTCAGGCTCTGTTCGGTAGCGAATATCGAGGTATGAAAATGCTTTCAATTTTTTAACAACAGCACAGACGATATGTGAATGGCCAGTTGACACAGCTTACACCTACATGTGTGCTAAGCCTGAATAGCACATTTAAACCTTTTTTCCCCTCATTCAATGAAACGGGCGTCATCAACAATAATTCATGCTGCATTGTTTGTGCCATCTGTATCTGAATGGCACATAAATGTGACCAGAAGAACGGCATGCTGTTACATACAACACACAAAGCGGAATGCTATCTTTCTTTCTGTTGCTCACACATACACATGCAGTATTTCTGACTGCACTTCAACTCCACCGATGAGACAGTGGTGCCATTAAAATGAAATAAATGAGTTAACATTTCATCAGCTAGGCTTGAATAGCTCATGTAAAACTTTTTTCATAGTATATGTAAACTAAAGGTAAAGTATGCAAGATTGCAAAAAAAAATACCAATACATACGTGGCAAAACAGATGGTAATATTCATTTAAAAACTTCTTTTACTCTGCTTACATCATATTAGATTCAAATCTATCATATAGTGCATTGATTCAATAAGTTAAATCGTTCTCTGATAAGTAGGAATGTGGCTTGGGCAAGTTCAAAAATTCTCCGAAGGTTTTATATGTCTATTTATAAACAGAGGATTTACCCCTAGAATGAGAAGGTCCATTTTGACAATATTTAGAATGGTCGTAAATATTAATGATGCGATTTCAATTGATTTTATGAAGCAACAAAAATAATAAAAATAATTGATAAAAAAATAATAGTAACAATAATAATTATAATACCAATACTAATAATAAAAATAATATCAAATATTATTATTAAGCTAAAAGAATAGTTTTTCGCATTAGAATATTCAGTATATTGTTAAATAAAGTCACCCATATTTTTGATTGGTGTGTGTGATCAGATTGCAATCAGCTTCAATTGCATTTTGGAGGGCACATTTTTTCCACAATCCACTAGCTTTCTGATCACAGAAAACAAATGAAGGACATATAAACATATAAGAATACGATATATAATTTCAGAATCGATATGACGAATGTAGACAGGATGGTTACTGGCCTAATGGGCCATTGCTGCCTTGTCACTTAAGTTTAATTTGGCTGCGACTGTTTGTCAATTGTGTGAAAATACATGGGGTGCTTTCACACTAAGACGTTTGGTTCAAACCAGTCTCGTTTGCCCAGTTAGCAAGGTCCATTTGGAATATGTAAAAGCCGCAATCACGCTCGAATTCACACCAAATCAATCGGTCCGAGATCGCCTAAATGAGGTGGTCTCAGCTCAATTGAAAGGAAATCTCAAGTGGATCGATTGTCGTGAGAAAGCAATACGATCCAACAAACTAACAAACCGTTTTATGTCAACTATGAAAGCGAAAGCATGCTTAAATATTACAGAGTGCTGTTTATCCATTGGGAAAATTGACAGAAATTACCATCTGATCATTTTTCCACGTTTTAATCTTAGAATATTTTGTATTAGGTCTATTGTTTTGTTCATTTCTCCACTGACACCTCGAAAGAAAGATCAACGTTGATCTGACTGAAGTCTCGCTTCATGTGTTATTTCTCTCAATAATTCAAGCCTAAAATGTATAATTCTGGCCAGTAATCCTTATAGTTAAACACTGCAATCAATGTGCGCAATAGTCACATCGCAGAATCTACATTGAGTCAATATTGTGGCACAACAGACCCCAGTTCAGAACAGAAGAGATTTTTAATCACTGCAGTTTAAACATAACAAATATTTATCATTTTCATTTGTTTTTAAGGCCTATAACTGTGAACACTTTTATAGTTTAAAACATTCAAGCACAAGTAGTTATGCTGTTTTCAACTTTAATAATGATTGATTTTATTGATTTATACGATAAAGGCTCGAGATGGTCATTTTAAATATGATTATTCAATTTCTTCACCTAAAATACTGTTTGACTATCCAGGAAACCATAAAACATTGTTTACCTTTAGCTTTGCACTATTCTATTGATCAATGTTTATAGTTTGTGTAGTAAATTGTGTGCATGATTCACTCCCCTACAAAATCATCCCAATCTATCTAAATCAATAAACTCTTTCCAAATAGCAAAGCTTTTTAAGTCACCTGCTGAAGTTGTATTCATACTGTAAATTATACAGTCAAGCCAAACTTATTCATACCTCTGGCAAACTCTTACTGCCACTTTTTGTTGCATCATCTTATTTTGTTTTCTGGAGAAGGCCTGTGTCATTTCCGGTTAAAAAAAATGCTAGTTGAAGAAATGTAGCTTTTAAATATATATTTATTTTTTTATTTGTGATTTTTTTTTTCTCTACGTTTTAACAAAACATTTTGTGCAATCAATGTTTATTTTCCCATAATGACTTTGGCCAGCAAAATAAATTACTAAACGAGTTAAATTCAAATAAAATTACAACATAGAGAAAGTTCCTTTGCAATATTGTATACGTTTGCAGTTAGACAATATCATACCTACATGATAATAGGTATGAAACCTATACATGATAATGTTTATAGTGGTCTTCTACATACGTTTGTGGTCAAACAATATTAGTGATCACACCTATTTTCACAAATGTCTTTATATAGGAGAGAGTCTTCATTTTTTCAAAAGTATGTAATCATAGGTTGTAAGGGTGTCACGATCCTCCAAATCCTCGATTCGATTACATTTTCGATTCTAAAGGCACGATTCGATTCGATTTTCGATTATGAATAATTAATTAATTAATGACCAATTAATTATTTGTAGCCTACTGTTTAAACTACCTGATCTGGATAGTCTTTGTTTTACCCATAAACAAATCATACAGTAAATGAATAAAGGCAAGATACACACATAATTACCACCTGTCAATCACTTTTTCTGCGGGACTCGTGAATAGGCAGTGATCTGTGTCGTTATAATGGCGTCGGTAAAAAAGACGCACAACCAACAGGAACCAGCCAACAGTATCTGAGGTGTTCGCTAAAATGACTAAGTACAAGTGAGTGAAAGATTGAAGCAGTCCTCTGACTGCATGGACCTGCTGTCTCGAGCGCATGGCTGTGAGTGCGTCTGTGTCTGTGTGGTCACGTGATGTGCATTTTCAGAGGTAAAGAGGAAGGAGGGCTGCTCAGAAATGCTACATGCCACTGTGGATGTCAAATCGTTGTCGTTCTAAAATGCCATTTAAAAAAACAAAGACAGTGTAAACAGGGCCTGAGTGTGTACTTTTCGCGAGCGGATTTGCAACGGGGTCGGGCGGAGGATCGCGATGCCGGTGTTGTCTATCGGACGAACCGTACGTAATACGTACATAGCAGAGCTTGCAAAACTGTGTTTTTTTTGTCGACAACACGAACGTTGTGAACATAACTAACTGGAAATCCAAAATGCTTAAACACCGCCGACTTCATTGAAAGAGGAGAGGGTTTAAGTTCTGTCGACGTGTCTCCTGCTTCTGCAGTTTAACAAGCACTTCAACAAGCCTGTTTTTTCCCCCCTTGGCAAGCCAAGCTGACGTGACATGGGGGTGTAGCAGCATCGACGATTCTATTTTTTGATTCGATAATCAAAATTGAGCATAAATTTCGATCGATTTCGATTAAAAATCGAAATCGTGACACCCCTAATAGGTTGCATTAAATATTTAAATTTTCTCTAATTTCAAATATAAAACTAGATCGCACATCCACATTGAAGTTTTAGATGGGTCTGCCAATTTCCACTCAAGTAATATTCTTCTCCTTCCTAATAAAATAGCAAAGGCAATAACACTTTCCCTTTATGCGTCAATGATATTTTGTGGCGGTTGACCAAAAGTGAAGTTTCACAAACTAAGAGGAGCATGTGATATGATTGATCGCAGCTGGTCTCTCATCCATAATTATTATTGAGCCAATCGGATCATTGCAAACTCACTCTAAATAGCCAGACTGATGTCATCCCCTTATCTTCGTTTTTTGAGGAATCCCCCCATCCACCTCATCTCCCCCTTTCCTTCTTTACCAGAGGGAGCTCTCAAAAACTTCCTTTCGTATCCCCTCACATGCTTATTGACCAGACGGGAGCCCTGGGCTCAATTATCTCCGAGCTCAGAGTTCTGTCCCAAGACAGCATGCCAAACCTGCTATTATCATTAAGCAATATCTAAGTGTGAACTCTTGAAATAGCTGTTTCAAATAAAAACTTCACTATATATATCAATGAAAAACAAAATATTGGATTTTTCCAATATCATGCAGCCCTGTTACCAATAACAAAGAAACGCTTCAGTTTTTTTCAAAACATAACAGAAACATAAATATGCCACACCATCTATATACTTAAACATGAAAACGCATGTTGTGTTTGAGAATCTGAAGCTCTTACCTGTGCCGATGCTCGTCGTGAGCTCCCACACCATGTATGACCTGTCTACTGCCATGCCTCGACTCCTTCTCGGTCTCGATGTGCGGTATCAACACGTCCTCCAAACCAAAGTCAAAGCGCTTGTGTTTGGAATTGTCCGGGAGGAAGAAAAAGGCTCCAAAGCACAAGGTGATGAAGGCACTGAGAATGAGGAGGAGGATGAACTTCTCTGAGAGCCGTAAGGTGGCTCTGTGATGGGGGAATGAGGAGGCACCTGGCGAGAGAGTAGGTATCCTACGTCCCGAGAGCGGCAAGAGAGCCGGCGTGGTCATATTTTGATGATCGACTGGAATATGGAGGGATAAGGGTCAAGGCTGTTTTCGCGCAAGCCACACTATTATCTCATTGCGGTGGAAGCGTTACTCCCGAACGTCTGCTTATCTCATAGAAATAAAGAGTTGTGTCCTGTAGATCACAGATGCTTCCACTTGCTCTGAAAACAAAGACACACATTTTTTTAGACGATGGCTATCATCGTGAGACATTCAGACATACTTGCATTAAAAATCAACTTCAGTTTCCATGGTAATTATGTTAAGAAGCAGAAAAAGCATGAATCTAAATGCTATCACAGGTAGCTCAGGTTCTCTAATTTGATTCCTCGGTTACTTGTGTGATTAGTAGTAATTTGGTCTTATGGTTTTGAAATGTACAAGTATGCTTGAAGTGGAGATGGAAATATTGTAATTAAGAGTTCTGAGAACACAAATGACTGAGCAAAATAAATGGGGAAACTTGAAATTTAAGATAAGATGCAGAGAGAGTAATGTTAAAAGTGGGTGACGGTTCGAAAATAGCTGAAAACTGATCTATATCATATATATGATATAATATGGTGGAGATAAATCAATTAATGTTTCATTTACAACATTTATTTGGGTCAAACTTTATTTTGATGGTCCGTTTGTTGAATTTACATTGAGTTACATTGCATCTACATGCCAACTCAATCTTATTAGATTATAAGAAGACTGTTAGGGTTATTTTTACATTTACTTGCAAAGTTTCTTTTAGTCTGTTAAATGTCTGATGAAGGAGCATATCAACAGATATTAAGCAGACAGCCTACTAATACACAAATGGACCATCAAAATGAAGTGTCACCTTTATTTGTTCTACTCTATATGTCATGTATACGGTGTAGGTGAAATTTTTAAATTCAGATGTAGTTTTATGGGTATTTTGTTTATAATACACAGTAATTCTTTAGGTTTTTAGGCTGATTACAAACGTTTCTGACTCTAATGTTGGAATAACAAATAGCAGATTTCCAAAATGTCCTTGAAAGCAGCAATAGTAGTAAAAAAAATTAGTACAAGTTGCACGCTAGCACTATTTGACATTGCATTAATCTAACATTTCACTCACTAGTGAGCAAAAAACTAAGTCAATATACCACATTCTGTCATGTAGATGTAACATCTGATTTGAAAATGTCTTCACAACTGTTAAATGTAGACTACAAGATCTGATGCATCACTTCAGTGTAATTCACACTTTGGTCATCTAGTTACTTTTCTCTGTTTCATGAGAAATTAATCTGCACACACTTCTTAATTCACTCACTAAGACAGAGGAACACGTGTAGCTTTTAGCTTGGCGAATAAAACTATGCATACGCCTATTTTTGTTAGAGGAAGTAAAAGAAGAATAAAAAGTATAATTGTTAAATTAAATAACACTCCCATATTTGTGCTGTTTTACTGAATACAGGCGCACACGGAATTTGCGTGCGCAGAAATCTGCAGATTTTAGCCAAACATTGAGTCTATTTATTTATTTGTGTAAATCTATATTTATTCAGTTTTTTTTATTAATTGCAGTAATATTATTGACTAATATGACAATGTTCATATGATATATTTACAATACAGTTTGTAAAGTAATATTTTCTGTCATTAAGCAGATATATGATAGACCTGCTTTGTTTACCAAATAAGTGGATCTAATTGTGTGAACATTAAATAAAAGTTAAAAAGGTTTTATTTTTCATTTCATGTATTTAGTTTTAGACACAATGGCACAATGGGTAGTGCTGTCGCCTCAAAGCAAGAAGATCACTGATCTGAGCCTCAGCTGGGTAGGTTGGCATTTCTGTGTGGAGTTTGCATGTTCTCCTCATGTTTGCAAAGTCCAAAGACATGTGTTATAGGTGAATTGGGAAGCTAAATTACCCATAGTGTATGTGCGTGAATGAGTGTGTATGAATGTTTCCCAGTGATGGGTTGCAGCTGGAAGGGTATCCACTGCGTAAAAAAACATATGCTGGGTCAGTTGGCAGATTATTCTGCTGTGGCGACCCCACATTAATAATAATAAAAGAACTAAGCCAAAAAAAAGAATAAATTAAGTTTTTAGTTACTACCAAAAGTATTCTGCATAAATCCACAGATTTTACACAATTCTGCACAGAAATAGCAAAAAAAAAAAATTGTAAACAGATTCGGTCTGGCCCTAAATATTAATAATGTTTTAAGTATGTGCATTACTGTGCAGCAAACTTGCCGTGTGATATTGTGTGGTAACTTCAGGTATTAATGGAGAAATCTTAGAAGGCATAACTATTATATTATATTATATTATATTATATTATATTATATTATATTTTGCTGACATCATGGTCCTTAAAATGTAAAGCCAATGGCTTACGACCAAATAATAATAATAACTGTGGCTAGCCTTTTATTAATACGCAAGGCATATGATTTTTGCTGGGAAAAAAAATGATAATGTTCTGTTAGAGACAAAAAGCCACCAACACCTTGGGGTGGCATAAAGGCAAGTAATTTAAAAGCTAAAACCTCATTTTTGGAAGATTTTCCATAAAACACTGATGTTTTTTTTTTTTTTTTTGTTTAGACTTTCAGATCGTTTAAAGACGTCTAATCTGACGTAAATAATTTTTTTTAAATGATCTTGTTGGAACCACAGGTACACTTAAGTCGAAGCACCACATGTGTGAATTCTTATGACCCGTTTTGAATATGAAAACATCAAGAATATGAACGAGCATGAAGCAGAAATACATCATTCGGCACAGACTGTCTAGTATCAGGCACACTTGCAGCTTTAAGCATGACAATGTGACACCTGTACAAGTGTTTGCGCTTGATTACAGCGTCTCACCAGGCGTTTCACGCTCAAACACCGGGGTGATGTTGAACATCACGCAATATTTTTCACGGGTATATTGAAGAAACAAATGTGAGCACATACCGTGAGGGTCTTTTTATCATTCTGATCCATGATCCTCGCTTTGATCCAAACGCTTCTCGGTGTCAAGGCGGGCTGGGTCGAATCGTTATCTTACGATAAACGGCCAGTCCGCCCTCACCGCCCGTTAAACGAAATATTTATCTTAAACTAGCAAAAACAACGATATGCTATCGATAAGGGACTGGCAGTCAGAATACACAAAACAGTATCGCAACCCAAGTAAACATAACAAAATCTGGCCGACCGGATACCAATCACAAGACTTAATCACCACGAGCTTCCGTTATTGGCGTAAACGATAAAAGTTGCCGTCACATCACGCGCGTACAGCGGAAAATATCAGTGTCGCGGACGGAGGTTCAGCACAGCATAGGCCTGGTCCGCTTGATGCCGTGGCAGCGTATCTGAAGCGGAGAGCGATATCAAGAGCCGATACAATAACACAAGTAAACCACGGGTGTATCGTAAACCTTGGGTAATCCCCTCTACATAATGCCCTATTTTAATAAAAGCTCAAGCCGGCCTGCGCTGGACGTGTGCTGCGCCTTTTTTCCTCCAGTAAAGGCATTCAGCAGGCAGCCGTGTAGCGGACTGATCCCGTCCTGCCGCTGCTGCATCACCTTGTCGGTGCCGCGGGATAAATCGGCGCCATACACCGTAAATCCACCATTAACGCCCAAAAGTTGCCAAGTTCACGTTCATGTCCCTGTTTCTGTACAGTGAAGCATTCGCGATGAGTACCACCGCCTCCGTTATGTCTTCGTTCCTCCTTTATTTCTGTAGCTGTGTGCGCCGCCAGCCTCCAATATCCAGGATGTTGTTACTGCAACAGCTACTCCTCCTCCTCCCGCTCCTACCAACATCCAGTCAGCGGCCGCGCGGTGCTGAAGCCGGGGAGCGTCGCGCAATGACGAGCATCGCAAGGCAACGCAAAATCAATGGTGGTTAATTATGGACAGTAAAGACGGTATTTATAGTAGCATAGAGTAGTCATTTTTTCAGTGCTCCTAATATGGACGTAACAAATAGTATTTTCATTTTGGGCAGCCTAATTTTAAATGGTCTGTTTTTACCTATATTAATTAGACTTTTTAAATATGTAATTTCTTCTATAATGTTTGTGTTGAGTTGCGTTGTTTGTATTGTTCAGTGTGTGCAAATGTGGCCCCAAAATTCAAGACAAACTTTCATCATTGGGGAAAGTTACTTTTGAAAGTGATGCATTACAATATTAAGTTACTCCCTAGCTAAGTTACTTAGTAATTTTTTATGGTAACTAAGGCATTACGTTACTTTTAACTTTTGCGTTACTTTTTTATTATCTGGCTGAGGCTTGGTTTCTTTCACAACTTTTTATTTCTTTTTTTATAGAGGAGGTCTGCAATGAACAAGGCACTGTATAACCTACACCTACATTTAACTTTAAAAAACACATAAAAATTAAGCAATGTTATTGCTACTTTTGAACCATTGTCTTAAGTAAAATCACTGTGCATTGAGACGAGCCCCTTTTCCTTTTCTTCGATATGTTCAAATGAATAAACACATTCTCTTATTGACTGCATGATTCATTGTGACTATTTTAATTTTAGCTTAGCAATTAATTTTTAAGCTAATTAATTAAACTAAAGTAACTTGCTATACATTTAAAAAGAATAAGCTAACTCAAATAATATGGCTTATTTTTTAAATGTAATGCGTTACTTTACTAGTTATTTTAAATAGTATCATTACAAAACTAATGTTACTTGTAATGCGTTACCCCAACAATTTGGGGACAAAAAAAGTGTATTAAGCTTAGTTAAGTAAAAGTCTTTTTTTAACTCTTAAAAGATACAATGTTTATTAATTGCATAACTATTTTAATAAGTAATTTGGGTTGAAAAATACAAATAAATAATAAAATGTCATTTTAATTATTTTAATTACTTATTAACTGGATATTCTAAACTTTACTATTTTGCACAAGTAATCATTTTTATTTAGAACAAAAAAATTTACATGCATTCAAATATATTAAATGTTAGTGGATACAATCTTCTAAAAATATTTCATAAAAAATATTTTATTTGTAATTAGATAATTTGTTATGTAATTCAATTTTTTTCAGCAATAATAGCCATATTATTGTATATTACTTATTACTTTATTATTACTTATTTATTACTGTATATTGCTAATTATTAACAATAAGCAATGATCATTATTACATTCATTACAATTACAAAAACATTTTGAAGATGATTATTTTGGAATGATTTACAAACAATGAAATTAAGAGTTTAAATGCAAAAACCTCTAAATGCCATTGAAATTTTCCTAAAATTAGTATTTTTTATCAGTCTCCTGTGTGTGTTTAGTAATGACACTTTTACAGCAAAAATAAGTCATTTTCCTGCTCTTTAAAGTAAAATATCTCAACATAAACAAAGGAGGCTTAGAAAAGCATTCATTTGTGATGGAAATTTCATACGGCACATAGAAGTTTTTGCATCTGAACTTCAAATATATGCAAAAAGTTTGACAGTAGTTATGGTTTATATCAAATCAAATGCATGTTAAACTGCAGATGAGACAATCTTGAGTACTTACATGTTCAAAGATATGCTAACCTCAAAAGAAATGATTTGCATATAATTAAATATCTCAAACTTTAGAGGACACAATTTTTGAAATGAATTACATACAAGAGCGGAGCAGTGGCGCAGTGAGTAGCGATGTCACTTCACAGCAAGAAAGTCGCTGGTTCAAGCCTCAGCTGGGTCAGTTGCCATTTCTGTGGAGTTTGAATGTTCTCCCCACGTTCATGTGGGTTTCCTCTGAGTGCTCCCATTTCCCCCATAAGTCCAAAGACATGCAGTACAGGTGAATTGGGTAAGCTAAATTGTCCATAGTGTATGAGTGTGAATGAGTGCATCGTGTGTGTTTCCCAGTGATGGTTTCATTTGGAAGGGTATCTGCTGCGTAAAACATATGCTGGATAAGTTGGTGTTTCATTGCAGTGTGGTGACCCCGGATTAATAAAGGGACTAAGCCGACAGGAAAAGGAATAAATGAATACATTTACATACAATCAAATATATGTTTAATCTTACTATAGCAGACACAATATTGAGGTTGGATGTAAAACTGTTCGCACCCATATGCATCACGGATCCATCATGTTCACATTCTGCTGAGCAGACGAAAAATGAGGCCATTTAGATCAGCCTGTGACTCAGTCCTTGAGCTGCCATAAGGGTACAGTTCCTTTCTCTTGATTTAAGCCTGATTTACCAGACTAACTCACAGCGAGTGTCAATGCTGTTGAAGGCAAAAAAATCATGTGTGAGTCATACTGACGAACGCAGAGGCCAAGAGACTGGATCTGCTGTCAGTCAGTTTAAGAGGCACACATTTGACACCCTGACAGAAGTCAGTGTCAGAAAAAAAAAGAGTTTCGCTCTGCTGAGTTTCTCAGTTTGCTCTGAGAATACGACACGGATCACTGGCAAAAAGAAGAATCGCCCTTAAACCTCAGACCATAGAAAACAACAACAAAAAAGACTGGTTTAGGAGAAAATAATTCACTACAATTCTCTGAAGATAAAAAAAGAGGACAAAGATACTGGGATTGAAAGGTTTATCTGTTACTTTAAGAGCAGTAGAGGTGAGACCATCCTCCAGTGGGACTGCATAATGAGTCAGGATGTGTTCTGGGCCTTTGAACTGAAGAATGGTGGACGATGACAGTTTAAATAAATGAATGGGATGCAGCTTTAACCTTGAGAAGTCCAGGCAAGGGCGAGTTGATTGGTTCCGCTGGACCAATGCGGCTGTCAATTGCATATCCTGTCACCAATAAATGTAGATAAGGGTGACTGTATCTGACATTCCAGTTAATGAGGCGATACAGCTCTCTCCCATTATGCAGGAGTGGGTTACAGTGACAGATGTATCTGTGAAGATATCTAGGTTAAACTAATTGAACGATAGTTAAAAACTTTTATTGGACAATATAATTAATCACCTGAATAAAATAAAACCAAGCAGATTGAAACGGTTAAGGTTAAACACTTGAGTGTTTGCCTCTGATTGGAAGGAAACAATAAACAACATCACTATTGTTTTGAAAATACTCATAACACAAGCACAATTGCATTTCCATCCTAATGTTTGCATAGCAGTCCATTAATCAAGAGGTTAACTACATGGACTTACGTGGATAAAATATTTCCAAACTGAAACCCTTTCAAGTGTTTTAAAATGTAATAAAACACACTTTATTGTATTTATTTGTGATTGTTATTCAAATGTCAGAAGAGTTTTATGCTAGTGCGGAAGTTGGATATCCGTCAGTGTTAGAATAGCATGTCTGGGCTACATAAAAGTGCGACAGGAGATCTTGTAAAATGCTAATGATAGCCTGAAAGCACTGAAAGCCTATCTCCAAGCCTGCAACCATTTAAAGCCATGCCTCCTGAACACATAAATGCAAACTGGATAATTTCACTACATCATGTAACATTCACCAGAGAGAAATATTAATAGAACAGTTATTAGTAAGTGCAATGCCAAACTTTAAAAAGTAGGTTGTTGATGTTTGCCTGCCATTCATTGTCTGAACCACGTCCATGAATATGTAATTACATGTTTTGTTTGTTCGGACTGAATGTTTTGATTGGACAAACTATTCTTATACTTTTCACAGAATATTAAAATACATACTGTATAATTATGGACCACTTTAATTACAATTTAATAATTGTTATGAGGATGTGAAGAGACTTTCAACCAGCATTAGAAAGATGATTGTTTTTTAATTTAAACACCTATCAAATTCTCACCTATAAACCTTGCACCTTTAGAACCCAAACATGTAATGATACCTGACAAAACAGTAATAGTTCACCCAAAAATGAAAATTCTTTCATTTGTTTCTCAAAATTGACAGAAAAATGTTGAAAACTCAAAACTATGTAAATTAAAACGTATTAAAATGAATTATGACATAATTTATATTTTTGGGTGAACTATCCCTTTAATAGTTAAAAGGAACTGCATGTTTACCTGTGAGTCCACAGTTGATGCCATCTCCTTCTGACACATGGAAATTAACTCTAGTTGAAGAGATTGTGTCTTTGTGAGTCGCAGGACTGCCTGTTCTTCTACCAATGGAGAAAGTATAATGGCCGACATGGATCATGTGTGCTTTGATAACCATTTGCACTGTAGCCTTGATATCAGAGATTGTCAGAGCTGTACAGGCAAATGACTTTGCGGATGCAGAATGAGAAGCAAAGCAAATTAAAACTACAAAAAAGAGATCACTCTAAAACAAATGTTTTATTGTAAATGTGCATCAGCTATCGAACAATTGTCAATAAGTCTAGTACATTCAGAATAGTGACATCCATTGAATAAATGACCTCTTATGTTCTTCCCTGTTTACTTATGTATTAGGCTTTTTTTAATCCTTGGAGGCTTGCCTGAATGAGTTGATGATTGGTTGGACATTTGATATTGTGGTAAATTAAGGCAAGGCAAGGCAAACCTTATTTATAGAGCACAATTTTACGCTACCATAGTTGATCCAGTGTGCTTTACAATAAAAGTATACATTTAATTAAAGAAAAATTACGAACATGGCTGTCTTTAATGATATAGTACTTCTGTATTTATTGGACTGGGAAGTTTTTTTCCACTGCACCAAGGTAAGGTGTTGATGTTCATTTGCCCACTGTAGACTCTTTCAATGGTGGACAGGGGCCATTGTAGTCACTCTGATTGGTCACTCTGTGGCTATACAACCACAAGGGAATCCAAAGCATTGTGTGTTGTGACATTCCTCCCACAGCCATC